GCTCTTAAAGGGGACGCGCCTCGCGCCGGGCTCTTAAAGAGACAGAAACACCTTTTGCTGAGCTCTTAAAGGGCCAGTGCACCTTGTGCTAAGCAATTCAAGCGCCAGCATGCCGCAGACTCCCTGTGTTGGGGTGAGAGGGAAGGGGCTGCCCCTCCAGCTGCGGCGGGGGGAGATTCCCGGCTCCCCGCCAAGGGCCAGGCCTGGGTGAAGCTGGGTGGGCAGGAGGAGCCGCGCCACTGTGGCCACGAACCTGGTGGCAGGGTGGAGGTGAGACCCCAGCTTTGGGGCGCGGCCATCCTGGGGTGCTGCCGTGATGGATTCAGGGCTCGTCCCCTTCCCATGGTGTTGCCCTGGACTCACCGGGATGCTCCTGTCTGCACCAACCTCCGTGTCCGTTGACCCTATTGCCGTGGTTCTGTAAAAGCGGGTCCTGCTGCCACGGCCATGGGTGGAGAGACCCAAACACTGTCCCTCCAGCACAGCCCTGGTGTGAGGCCCTGGTGTGAGGCAGTGCATGTTGGTAAAAGACTCATCCTCAGAAACTTCCCTGCATGTCCTTAATTGTTTAGGGTTTTTTTTTTCTGACTGAAATTTCCGTTTGGAAATCAGTCAAAGGTCTGATTCACTCGGGAGCAAATCGCCGCTTGGGAATGTCAAGGTGGTAAACATACAATTAATTAAATGTGGTACTTGGAAGGTGGCCGTGAGAAAGCATTTCCCAGATAGTGCTCTGTCAACGGTGCCAGTTTGTTTTTTAAATTAATGAGAGCATATATCATGCCGTCTCTGGCCTGTGGCTGCTGGCAGCCGGTTGAGCTGATGGACGGGGATGCCAGCTCAATGCATAATCTGTTTTCTAAAAGCAAATTGGAATATTAAAAATTCATTCCTATCCTTGGCTCGCACCCGCTCTCAGCATTTTAAATAATGGGGTGATTGACTCTGTGTTCAGCTTGGGGAGGACGTTTCGTTCTGCTGACTGTCGCCACAGCATCGATCATGCTTTTGCCAGCGTCTGTCTGTGGGTGCAGCGTCCCCCCGATGGCTCCCAGCCCCATGGGGATGTCACAGCCCGTAGCTGCCAGGGGTTGTCCCCGGGGCCATGGAGCACAGCATTGCCTGTGAACCTGGGGATCAGCCTGATTCTTTTTTAGTCATCACATCTAGCGTCAAAGGCGAGAAGCGTGGGGAAGGCCTGGTGAAGGTCTCATGCCCAGCCTGCTTGGGGACGGTTGTCTCAAGGCAGGTGAGGGCTGTCCAGTAACGGCAGCACTGTCCCTGCGTGGCCCCAGCTCACTGCTGAGGGCTCCATTTTGCGGGTCAGTGAAATTCAGGTTAGCCACGGCTGTGTGATGGGTAACCCCAACCTACCCCTGCGCGTTGGAAGCTCAGCAAGAGCAGGCATGAGCCTTGTCTTCAGAGGGGGACTCAGGAGCAGGTCTCCCAGGGCTGGTTTGGATTTAAGGTTTTTGGGGCTGCTGGATGCGTTGCCACAGAGTGAGGGTGGTCTCCCCCATGGCACTGATGTAACCCGTTCCCTGCAGGGGCTGACGCACGATGGCCCACAGCCAGTCTCGGAAGCGATCGCGAAGCAGGAGCAAAAGCAATTCTCGGAGCAGAGAGGAGAGGAAGGAGAAGAAAAGGAGGAAGAGCAGCAAGGACTTACACCGGGGCAGCAGCTCTCCTCCAAGGAAGCGGACCTCTGGGTCACACAGGCACAAGTCGAGCTCAGCTGCAGGCAGGGAAGGTAGGGGAAAGGCCTGCAACCCTGTGCTTTCATCACGTATTCCTGGGGTAGGTGCACGGAGGGGGCCTAGGTGGGAGAAGAGGATCCCAGCTTTTAGCTAAATCAGTCTCTGTTGCTTTGCTGTGCACTTTGTGCCCATTTTAGTTTTGTTCCGACAAGTGCAGAGCCCTAGAGCCCCTCTGCGTGCTGGTCTGGCAGCGTGGCACCGCACACTGTCATGTGTTAAAGGTGTCGGCACAGAGGGGACTTTGCCACGGCCTTGGGGGCTTTGCCGTTCAGGCAAGAAAGAAATCAGGCTGGGAAGGGGATGAGCAGCATCTCTGCTGCCACGAGGCCAGAGCTGCTCTACTCAACCTCTTCTATATATATTGCAGAAAAGAAGAAGGAAGGGAAGGACAAAAAGAAGAAGAAGGCAAGTACCTCTTCCTCTGAGACAGCGTCTTCATCTACTGGCTCCTCATCTTCCTCTTCCTCCAGCTCCTCTTCTGATGACTCCAGTGACAGTGACTCCAAAACAAAGAAGAGTCGACATGGAAAAAAAAAGCGAGTGAAACAGAAGGACAAGAAGAAGAAGAAGAAGAGAATAAAGAAGAAATCAAAAAAGAAGTCAAAGGAAAGGTCTAAGGAGGAGAAAGCCAAGGGGGAAGCGGTGCCCGGCCCCTCACTGGAACAGTGGCAGAAGGAGTCACTGGTGGACTCCGGACCAGGTAATGATGGTGTTTCCCTCCTGCTGATGTCAGGGCAGTCAAGCGTCGCGCTGGGGAAAGACACTCACACGTTGCCCTTCCTGGGACACACATGAGGTGTCTGAGGGAAGCAGGGCTGTGTACAGGGAGGAGCTCCAGACTCTCCTCCCTCCTATGTACTGTGGCTGCCCTCGAGCCACACCAGGTAAACGTAAGGAGCCACATTCAGAGAGTCATTTGTGAAGTGTTTGGATGTTGTTATTGATGTGAGTGGGGAACAAACATGCCTGATAGAAGGTCACGGTCTGCAGTGACAAACAGGCAAAGCTGGTGCTAGCTTTGGGAGGTGAAGCGGCCTTTCCTTTTGTGGTTCATCACTGAACCCCCGAGTACCGCCGGCAAGCTGGTGCGGCACCTGTGTCTGTTCACTGCAGGCGTGGTGCTGCGACCCTCAGCCAGGAGCTGGCCCCACCAGCACAGCTCTAACTCATGCATTCCAGTTTTGACAGACGAACAAAAATCCCGAATCCAGGCTATGAAGCCAATGACAAAGGAAGAATGGGATGCGAGGCAGAGTGTCATAAGAAGAGTTGTGGACCCAGAAACAGGGAGAACCAGGTATGATCCCTGGGGAGAAGGGAGGCAGGTTGTCCATCACCATCCGTGGTGTGTGGGTTGGAGTCCTGGAGGATGCTGGTCCACGACCCTGCAGTACCATGCGTGGACCCAGGTTCCCTTCAGCAGAAAAGGCCAAGGCCTGAGCCGATCCCGTGTGGATCCCCTCCCATCAGACCTGGTGTAACTCGCCCAGAAAGTGACACATTTGACACGAAATTATCGAACTGTGCTGGGGCTCCATGCGAGTGGCACCAGGCTGCATCCCAGCCCAGAGCTGTGGGATGCAGAGATACCGGAGCACCCGGCTGCTGGAGGCAGAAGGTTTCTTGCGCTGTGAAGAGTTCATCTTCCTCCCATTAAACAGGGCTCTGCAATAGGGGCAGAACAGGTACCAGAGGGGTGACTGGCACCTTTTTACTCCACTGCTTCACACACTTGCCTGTCGGCTTCAAAGCACACACGCACTCAGCCCTGGTTAGCGCTTGGCTGCAAGTGAGGAGGGAGTGTGCGCCCCTTGGGGTTACAGACAACAATCAAACCAAAGTTCGTTTAGCTGCCAAATAGAAATGACCCAGTTTTTAATAAACTGCATCTTCTCAGCAAGCAGAAAACATCATGCTGAAGAGAACTGGGTATGACAAGTCCAGTCTTAAAATAGAAGGCAGCCTGCAGGGCTCAGGGAGGTGTGGAACAAAGGTCGGTTCCCTGTAAGGCATGTAATGAAGACAATTAAATTTCTCTTCATGTTTGGAGGTGTGAGCTGCCTCTGACACTGCTTGGAATTTGCTCAGCAAGATGCTCCCCGCTCCGGCTGCCTTTCAGGCCCAAACCGGCTCCCGTTTCTGAATGGCTCTGCAGTTTCCTGGGGCAGCCAGGACCAGACCTGAACTCTGTGTGAAAAAAGGAAGAGGTTTTACAGGGGTTGGGGCCACTGCTGTTGACAGCAAATCCTGCAGGTGGTGGGGTGGCAGGAGATGCTTTTAGTAAGAGTGTTTTCTCTCGCTGGGTGCAAGCGTGACTGGTTCTGTGCACAGCAGACAGTGCCCACAGCCTTGGGGCAGGGATGGCTGGCCCATGCAGGGGAATGCTGATTTTCCTGCTGTAGCATGGTGACATTAATCCCACAAGAGTAGTGGAAAATCCTGCTGTGCTGTTTAAGCTTGATATGACCAAAAAAACCCCAACCACATCATGCAGCGTCAGGGGTGGGTTGTCACTGGCCTTGCCTAGAGGCGCGTCAGCCCAGGACCTGGTCCCAGGCACAGCAGCAGCCCTTGGGGTGGGGGGTCAGCACCTTCTGCAGCTGGGAAACAGTGTGGCTGGCAGGAACTTGCCAGTAGCCCTCACGGCTCATGGGCCTGTGTTTGTCTTCCAGGCTTATTAAGGGAGATGGAGAAGTACTAGAAGAAATCGTCAGCAAGGAGAGGCACAAGGAGATTAACAAGGTAGTGGGGACTTGCCACCAGCATGAGCTGCTGGTGGGTGGGAGGGTGCAGCCGGGGAGGTGCTGCACCCAGAGGCGTTGTCTTGCCTCCCTAGGGAATCCCACTGACTCTACCAGGGCAAACGAAGCCCTGGCAGCACCGCAGGGACCCCCATGAGTGGGCGCTGGTGGTCCTTCATCTTGGGGAGGCAGCACTGTGAGCACCTCTGTGCTGTGCTCTCCTTTACAGCAAGCCACCCGGGGGGACGGGCTGGCCTTCCAGGTGCGGACAGGGATGCTGCAGTGAGCGCCAGCCCCACCGGGAGCCTGTCCTGCTGCCGGTGCCAGCCTAAGCATGAGCCTCTGGCCCTGGACCATGCAGACAGCACGACGTCACGATGCTTCCCCAGGGGCAGTTTCCAGCCGCTCTGTAAGTTACTGACTGGGAAGGAGAGCCATTTAATGCTTCATCTCCCACTAAGACAGCTTCTCCCCTCTCTGTCCAGACTGGGGCCAGCGGGGCTGTAACACACTTAGACCTGCTCGCCCCAATGCCTCTTTTGAGGCCGGAGATGCTCAGCAGCACCCTGGGGACAGGCTCGCTGGCACCGAGCACCTAGAGGTCCTGCTGCTGCCCCTCAGCTCCAGGCTTTGAGGGGCAGGAGCCAGTGCTGTGGACAGGACAGGATATGTGCTAGGGCTGCAACATAGGCAGCTGGCTGCCATTTCTTCCCTTGAGGGGCTGCTCTTGGCCCCTTCCTTGCTGGCTCTGCATGCCCCACGCTTGCCCAGTGCTGCAGGCTCGTGGGCCCTTCGCACTCACCCACCCTGCTCGGAGAGGAGCGGCCGTGCCGCTGCGTGGCTCTGCTCAGGCTGCAGCTCTCTGCGCCTTCAAGTGCCACCCTCTGCTGCGCCCCAGGGGCTTGACTCGGCCTTTCTGCAGCTTCATCTCAGCACGTGGCGCTGGGGGAGCACGGGCCTGGCACAGCGCGCTGGGGCGCGGGCAGGCGTGCTTTGCAGAGAGGTGGCTTTGCTTTGCTCTCCGTTTCTGCACGTGACTTTTGCGTCCCTTCCCCACAGTGCAGGCCCCAGGCAGCGTTGGGGCTCTGGGCTTATTGGAGCCCGTGCCCATGGCAGCTGTGAAGCCAACAGCTGGCCTTTCTCCCCAGCTGCAAAGTCCATAAATCTACAAATCTACAAAAAAAAAAAAGACAAATGGGTTAAAGGACAACTGGGTCCCGCAGGACTGATCTGCACGGAGGGTTTCCACGTTCTGTTCCTTGCTGTATCCCCATTAAACTGGTGCCTGCTCACGTCTTGGGTTTTGTGACTTGTCTGTTTCTAGAATCTCCCAAAAAAAGCAGACAGAGAAGAGCCTTCCCGTTTCTTTAATCTGTGTAACTCACAATGATACTGTACACAAAGCACACCCAGGCACTGAACGATGCACTAACAGCAAGGAGGAGAAGGAAGTTGTACAGAAGGTTTGTCACACACAAGCGAGTCATCTGCACGGTACTGTACACACAGAGGCGTACCCAGCGCGGCTGCCGGCGCCCTCGGGCATGCCCTCCGGTGGTTCCCCACACACGTCCGTTACCCCTAAAGCAATTTTTTATAAATAAAATATAACTAACATCGTTGGAATATAAAATTGACAGTCGAGGATATCAACAGGCAGAGGGTGCTGAGGACAGGGCGGGGACCGTAAGGCTTCTAGAACTAATAGGAAATGCAGCAAACGGTGCGATACCTGAAGAAGGGGCTGCTACAGCAAGCACGGCGGCTGCTGGGCGGAGCGGGAGTTTGTTAGTAACCCTTTGGCTAGTTACTGCTCTCGGCTCGCGTATCGGACACTGTAAACGTTTTTGGTATTAGAATTTCGCCTCATCTGACTGAGTGATCTAGCAAACCCAGGAAAATGACTCTGAGGGAATGCATGGGCTCCTCTTTTTGTTTTTTAAAAGACTTTAAAGGGACAGCATCAGGTAGAAAGTCTGGCCCAATAGTGCAGTAATACAAAAACCTGCTTTTTATAAAAAATCTGAGCTCCACAGCAGAGTTTGATTCCCATGGAAACAATTAAAAAAAAAAAGAAAGACTGAGGCAGCCTGTGCAGCGCGAGCTGTATTGTGCTAGTGTGTGAGAACAGGACATGGGCTGCAGCAGAAGCAGCGCGACTGTCGCCGGTCACGCCGATGGCTGCCCAGACAATGGTGACGGGGAGGAGTACAAGAAACTTCATATTCTTTCATTTCAAAACAAACAAGTTATTTGTAATGAAGATAAATTAGGTCTGTAACCTGACAGCGCCCCTTCAGTAAGGATGGAATATACATTCATCTTTCCTTCACTGCATCCAAACGGATCCTCTTCCATACACATGGAAAGGCGTCGGGTCACATGCATTGCTCTCCAAAACAGCTCGGAACAAACAGGTTATAAACACAGAGTTAAACTATTGCTATTGTTCTTTGAGTGAGTAGCACGTTGATCTTTGCTTCAGATAGATGAGTGCCAGATGGGGGCGGCTGAGGATAGATTGATGTAGACTATGATGGACTGAATCGGTGGAGAAAAACTTATTGGCATATTTCCTGGTAACTACACCCACCTCATCTGGTATTATTGCAGCAATAAAGGTCCTGCTCTACAATTGCTTCTCCGTGTTGGATCCGTGCAATGGCAACAGATGGGGGGCCAGGGAAAGGACCTGGGCAAGTTTTCAAGAAGCTGAACAAAGGGTGAGGATGGAGGTGCTATGATTGTCAGTCTGACTGGTTAGTAGCTGTTTAAAACATGAAGTGATGGAGAGGTGAGTATAATATTGCACTTCTGCATTCATTGACAGTTACATTAAACTTGGTCCATAAAATAATTGCTTTGTACATAATGCCTGAAACAAAAAGCTACATTTTTAAATATTAATAAACCCTGAAGGTTCCAGTCCCTCTAGACATTTTTTTTCCTCTACATAAATAAATAACTTTCAATTTTATATATCCACTTTTTATGTTGAACATTTACATTCGCCTCTGTTTTACACTATCTACACATAAGAAAATGTGAACATCTCGTCAGCATTGGAAAATGTACAGATCATGCCTTGGTTGTGGACTTGGAGGAAAGCTGAATTTTGCAAAGGCCATATCCAAATTTGCAGAAATTATTTTGTGATGCGGTTTGGTGACTTCACAGGATGGATTGTGGCTTGGCTTCCTACTCAGATGGCATCTGTTTGATAGAACATTCGACTAGCAAATAGCTGGGACAATTCACATTGTTTTTAAACCCAGTAAGCTCTGGATGTACATTCACAGAGAGCTAAGCTGAGTTGGCAGAAAGGGAAGTCAGTTTTCGGTAACGAAAGTCATCAGATACATTCTGTAATTGAGTAATTATCAAAAAGAAGTGGTTAAACATTTTGCAGTCAGGCTGCAAGACGTGAGAGACGCACTGGGCGGC